TGGTTGAATTGAGTTCTTTCGCCAATTCTGAGATACGGTTTGGTCTAACTGCTCAGGGTTGACACGCGGCGATGACGTCGCGGCTTTAGCGACGCGATTTTATCACCGCTATTTTGACAAGCATGGTTTTGTCGTGCCACGGAAGAAAAGCTGGTCCTTGTAGCTGGAATGGGGAAAGAGAACACTTGACCCGTGTTTGGAACAAACTTTTATTAAGATGAATTTGCTACAACCTTCCCAGTTTGTTATTCTCAGTATTGCTAACTGGCCATTCCAAAGGGTGGAGTTGTCTACTCAAAGAGAATAGAACATCTAACCTCCTCCTGTAATTGTGGAGGAAAAAGGGGTTTAGTGCATGCAGACAAGCAGCCTATCTCTCTTTCTTTTCCTGCTCTTCTATGAACGGAAGAGAACATTGTGCAGCAAATATCTGGATGGGAGGAGAGCTGGGAATTCTGCTATGGGTCCCAACATCTTGTTTCATCCTTCAGGTGCTGGTTGAGAGCAGTGCGCAAAGAGTCATCCAGCTGGCGGCCCAGTGGGAGAAACATCGGGTGCCACTCATCCAGGAGTTCCGAGAACTGAAGGCTCTCCACGATTCCAAGGAGGTGATGCAAGCAAAGGGATGTGAGGGAAAGCCTTCTTCAGAAGAGAGACTTGGTGGTGGTGGTGATGATGCCGACCTTCTGATGATACTGACCCTCTCCTCCCCTTTCAGATGGAATCATCACAGCGCTTGTTGGAGATCAGGGAGCTGCACGAGAGGATCCGATTGGCCGCTGATGAGACTAAGCGGAAGGATGACCTCTACAAACAACTGGTTGGTGATGTGTCTGGCTGGTTTCTGCAGTTGGATCCTTGCAAAAACATAGTTTGCCATACATAGGAGAGTGATTGGGACAATGGTTCCTTCCATGACTGATGATAGCTAGATGACAGCTAGAGTCCTTCCACCTAGCTTCCTGCTTTCATGTCTTTTCTAATTAGGGCATGTTAGCTAATGATAGGGACGTGGTGGTTCAGTGGCTAAGACGCTGAGCTTATTGACCAGAAGGTCAGCAGTTCTGCGGTTCAAATCCCTAGCACGGTGTAACGGAGTGAGCTCTCATTACTTGTCCCAGCTTCTGCCAACCTAGCAGTGTGAAAGCAAGTTGAAAAATAGGAACCACCTTTGGTGGGTAACAGCGTTCCGTGCGCCTTCAGCATTTAGTCATGCCGGCCACATGACCACGGAGACGTCTTCGGACAGCGCTGGTTCTTTGAAACAGAGATGAGCACTGCCCCCTAGAGTTAGCAATAGCAATAGCCGTTAGACTTATATACCGCTTCATAGGGCTTTCGGCCCTCTCTAAGCGGTTTTACAGAGTCAGCATATTGCCCCCA